ACCATCACATTTTGATCATAATAAAGCACAACTAGTTCAAATTTTTATTTTTTCTCTTAAAATTTTGGATGTCCTGACATTGACAATATAATATCTATAGATTATTCTTTTCTGCATGATCTATTCCCTTCAAAGTTGGGACTGTAATACAGTGTTGTCCGCCTAATAGCAACCCCATTGGGGAGCAGGGTTGCTGCACTTAATTTTTCAGGACGTTGGGGGGGGGACACGAGTCCTTATCACCAGATGTGGTGATGTCATTATAGAAAGTAAGAACATAAAAGGCTAGCAGTGATTGAGTATGGGCAGTAATGTTACTCCCAATTGCCGAGACGACTCCGCGGGAGATTCTTGAAAGGGGGTGGCTCTTGGCGAGAGGGTGTGAACTGAGTTCCTGTACTCAACGCGATTTATTTTTGCCCTGAGCAGTTCTTGTGGGGAGATAAACAAGAGATGAGGGATGACGCACAATTAAATTATTAGGCCAGTGTTGGTGTTCACATGGTTTTTTAATCTAAAGAAAGATATGTTTGATAATTTATAGCAATGAGATTTCTGTTATAATATAGGAAAAAGTTACTGTGAAAGGGTTATATATTTTATATTGGAAAATCTCATTTACACGAGCTTAGGTTGTTAAGTGGAGGTTGCTGTTATCAGGATTGTTGTTAACTAAGTCAGTGGACACCACTGTTATTATTTATTGTGTAAAATTATTTATTAGTGTTTGAGAACTTAATCAGCTTGTACTGTATGCTTCCCGGGAAGCTGAGAATGTTTTGCTGAGTGTTCTGTGGTCTGCTGGGGTAATAATATATAGTGTAAAGCGCATGGAGCTTGCTGTGGAGCGGGGTTATGCCCTATACAAATGCTATTTATTATTTATTATTATTACTTTCTTAATTTTGACTGATCTTCCTCCTTTGTTGAGGCTACTGGATTTGTCATGCTGTTGGTCATTCCTAAATTCTCTCATGCTTTCGGCATATGATTGATAGTAATGGTATTCATCTAAGTTGTCTCTCACCCTGTGACCCTTGTTTCCTCTGAGCCAATCTGATGTTTCTCTCTTTTTATGGTGGCTTTTTGGTCCTTGTGCCTAATTTCTATCGTTGATGCAATGGATGTTGGGACCTCCCCATTTCATCTAGTGGTTAAGCTCTCGGACTCGCAACCGTAAGGTCGTGGGTTCGAATCCCGTCAGGGGCCCGACGTTGTTACCTTGGGAAAGGCACTTTACATGAATTTTCCTCACTTCACCCTTTTCCTCACCTCACCCAAGTGGAAATGGGTACCCGGCTATAGACAGCGAAAGATATTGTCAGTTTGTTTCTGTTTGAGCGCTAAATCAGCTGCTTGCGCTGTATGCTTCCCGGGAAGCTGAGAATGTTTCGAAGTGTTCTATGGTCTGCTGGGGTCATAATATAGTGTAATGCACATAGAGTCTGCTGTTGAGCGGGAATATGCGCTATACAAATGCTGTTTATTATTATTAATGGTTTTTCACATATTATGTGATGCACACAGTCAAATATTTTATAATAGTCAACACAATGAGCAATTTATAGATTTTTATTGTTCTTTCTGCATTTTTCAATGTTCTAGATGTTAAATTTTTGGTTTTCTGTTCCTCTATTTTGCTTGTCTGAATCTGGTTTGAAAGATTTAAAAATTTGTTTTTTTATCTTACTCTTTTTTGTGATGTGTAAGATGATGTTGCTGGCATGGTTGATGAAAGCGATGATTTAACCAGTTTCAGCCGTCTTTTTTACCATTTTCTTGAAAAGAGATAACATGTTCACAGAAAAAAGAATGTGTGTGCATAGAAATCAAATATTGTACTTCCGAACCAATTTTTCATAGAGAATCCATTCCTTTTCTAGATGACACACCACACATCAAGTAAGAAGTCAGAAGGATAAATAATTTTCACTGAGGTGTTTACTTTTGCATAGAAATATCCATCTCAGGTTGATCACCCAATTTCCAAATTCACAAAATCAGCACCCTTTGTAGCCACCTGCTGCAATGATGGTTGACTGACATCGTCGACGCATGGAATTGAATAGATACATTTTTGAGTAAACTGCTGGTTGAATTTGCTGCTAGATTCTTTTTAACTATTTCGCAAGTTCATCTAATGTTTGGGGTTGGTCTTTATCCGGGGATATTACGTGCTGCAGTTATGGAGGACGCAATCTGTTCTGGAAATGAAGGCAATGGATGTGCTGGTCTTGTATCTGTATTGTGATCCGAGGCCTACCACTTCTAGGTTGATCAATTTTTTTACAGGCACCCACACAGCTGCCCATACACTTCCAATGTTACTTCTGTGGACAATATTGAGCCTCTGAGTCACATCTCGCTGTGTACTTCCAGCCTGCAGCAGTCCCAACTCTAGTCTTTTATCATTTTCCAACAGATGTGGCAGGTTTTGAAAGCAAAAATTTTGCTGTTTTATGTTTTTAGAAATAAACAGCCGTTTTTGTAATTTCTCCATTGCTCATTTCACTTCCTCGACCAGTGGGTCAGATTCTTTAAAACAAATTAGTTTGGTCTCAATCTGGGTTTTCCTTTGTGTTGTACTTTAGTGTTCCCTCAAGCTGTTCAGGAAGTTCTCATTCTCTGAAAGCGGTTTTCCTTTTTTGTCATTCATTGCCTAATGTATAGAACAAAGCCTTACATTCTGCTCTCCGGTTGGTCATCACCAAATATCAAGCGTTTGAAAAACCTTGTTTTAGGACCTTTGAAAATAATTCCCAACTGGCAGTCTGAAATATGTATCTATAATATATCTGACTGTGTGTATGGGTAGTATGATGCAATAATTTTGTTTCATCTAGGAAATACTTGCTTACAACAAGAGATTATTAGGTTACTTGGCCGTTTGCCACATAGTTTGTAATTCGGTTTCTTGCTTTTCATTTGTCGCTTATGGCTCGTGGTTTGGATATTTTGCAAGTTGTTATGAGGTATGATGTTGCATGCAGAATTACTGATGGCATACAGTTCATTGCTGCTTGTAAAATCTCAAGGTTATTGAACATGTCTTGGTGAATAATTTTTAAGTACTTCTAGAGTATGTCTGCTTTGGACATGCAAGCATTTGAATATACAAAGCGTAAGAAAACGAAATTGAATGTGTTTGCCTTTGTAGTTCCAGTATGGGCATTGGGTAGATCCTGCGATGTTACTATCCTTCCGTCACTTTTGTCTGTCTGGTTTCTCCCCAACACTAAGGACCATTATTGTGTCTAACTCGGATAAGACAAACAGAGATTCTGGAATAGATCAGGCTATGGTGTGTCGTTTAGTTACAAAGTAAAAAATCAAAATTTCCCCCGGGGAGTTAATTTTTCTTTGGGTTGTGAAGGGTGGATCTGAAAACCTTTAGTGTTTCTGAATTTCACTAATAAACTGAAATTTGGGGGTAGTTAGATTTAAGACTGAGGGACAATTACTGAAATCAAGCATTTGATATGCAAGAGCTGATGTCAGTTCCAAATACACTCCCCCAATAAATAACATATTAAATATATACTTCATTAAATGATTCGTGCTGTCTTTCTAAGATTTTTGTATCTTCCTGATTAAGATTTCAATTAGATCAATTTTTTTAAATATTTGTTGGGGGGGGGGGGGGGGGGGGGGGATTCCAAGTTTAGTAGGAGGCATAGTAGATATATATGAGACAATTGACACTTCATGGAAGACAACTAACACTTCATTATCACGATCCCCACCCTCTCAAGCCTAATGATCATTAGCAGCAATAACATCATTAGCGACAACCTCGCCATCTTGCTCTCAAGCATCTGTTTTATAGTGAATTGAATGATAACCTTGAGAGTTTTGACTAGATCTACAATGAAAAGGAGGCATATAGAATTTAAAACAGAGCTCAATGAAAGAAACCTCTATTGTTCTAACTGTAGCGAACAATGACGAAATATTGATAATTTATACGTACCGACACCACACACACACACACTATCTCAGTGTCAGAGTGTCATTTCCAGTTTTGTGTTCATGTTTTTATAATAGGAGTTTTTTTGGTTGTTGTTTTTTTTTCTTGGTAGGTGATTTACGGTGCTTGCAACTGCATAAGGTCGTATGAGGGTGTGGGACATACATTTTCAGTTGGTCGGAAAATTTTAAATTTTGCCCATGTGGCGGCCGAAGCCAACTCTTATCGATTTTCAGACCACCAAGGGATCTTTAAAACTTGTGCAACGTGCACACGGGACCTCAGAGATTTTTCACCCTTATCCGAGAAGGCTTGCTGTAGATCTTACCTCCCGTAAGATTAGGGGGTGTGGCCGAAATACAGGTGTAAGAAGGAGCCAAGGAGTAACAGTAGAAAGGCTGCAGAAAGAGTCGGGAGCCCAGAGGAGGGGGTGAGGGAGCGGGGCAGAAAATGGAGACGTAAGCAGACGACAGGACATTGTTAAAAAGGAGAAAATTTTAGAGAAGAAACTTTTCGTCATAATCTGAACTTGAAGCCTGGACCTATTGAATGAGAGGTGAACACAGTAACCTCTGGACCACAAAAAGCCCCCGAAACAGGAGAAAAGTATTTATAAAGTGATCACCTTTATATCTAGTGTGTCATATTTTTGCTTTAGCATTTGGCTTTATGTCGTTCTGCTGCTGTTGGTTGATTCATATTTCCTTTAGTGGCATCATCAGTATTGATTTCCCCCTCACTATGTAGTCACATTTAGCAGTGAAGCCTTCTAGTGAACAAACGACCATGGGAATGTAGCCAACTGTGCCTTACTCTTATGGAACAGCAATGGTTACAAAGGCTTGGAGAGACATTGTCTTTGAGAAGGTTCTGCTATAGCTTGGTTTTCCTTCAATCATAACTAACGCTAATGCCTAATGTTCATTCTTGAATCATTTACAGGATTTTCCAAGGTCTGTACAGATCTCGTAAGTACTATTAAGACAAATTTTAGATAACGGTATTTTTGTTCTTTCTTTTGTCTTTGAAATAGGGACGACAATCAAGGGGTAGCATTTGACCTGTCTCAGGTGCCACTCCCACCCTCTGTGCCTGCTGCCTCAACACGCAGTAGTAGGCGATCTTCAGGGTCCCAGATCGAAATGAAAGATGATGACCGGAGAGGAAAACGGAAGAAGAAGAAAAAGAAAAAAAGAAACGGGGAAAGCAGACTGTTTGATCCAGCAGATGATGACGAAGAGGAAGAAAAAGAGGTTAGATATAGTTTTTGTGTTGAGTGTCATCAATAGTGATTTTTAATTTTGTTGTTTCTTTTGTTCGTTGTTGATCTTGACAGTCTTGAGCGAAATCGAATTGAAAGTCCACCTTATAATTGCTTCAACATGAACTTTTGAAGCTTCAATTCTTTGTTTTTCTTGTTCAAATTTTCATTGGATGTGAGTATGTTTTGTGTCTTTTGATTCGACTGTTTCCATCACTATCTTAATCAATGTTGAAATTGGGTTCTGCATTGATTTTTGCCATCGGCTCTGTCATTTATTTATTTATTTTTTTAAATTAATTTTTTTTTTTGGGGGGGGGGGGGTCCTTTGTTGTTTTATGGTGATTAAATGGTGTAAGTTTGACACTGTTGCTTGTTAGATTTTTAGGTGGCTTTTTGGTTTAGTTGTTGGAGCAGATTGATAGATTTTGTATAATGGGTTAGTGTGACGCTGTTCTAGTTAGTTTTTTTTTACTTCATTGTACTAGTTGTTATCATGAGAAATGGGTACAGTACATGTGAATCATCATTACCATAGAGCGCTCAGCCAACTTAATCTTGATTCATATTCTTGCTGTTTGATGAAATTGCAAAATTTGACTATGTGAAACATACCTAGTGTTTGTCGTGCATTTGTGTGATAATCCAAGTCCTTGGAGTTAACGCACAAAGGTTAAAAGAATTGTACACGTTTAAGTTCAGGTGGAGAGAAAATAGTTTTTGAAAAGATTGAGGTAAAGTGATGTTTAATTGTCTATATTGGTTTTGAATCTAATTCCTCACCCCTCCAAACTACCAGCATCATGTGAAGACATAATGGATGCATTTTATGATCAAGGGGAATAATCATGTATGATCAAGGGGAATAATCATGTATGATCAAGGGGAATAATCAATAATTTTGTAGGCTCCTGAAGTTGCCTGTCTTTATTGAAAATGTTGCCAAGTAGTTAATTGCTGAATATTGGATTTAGAATAAGAGGTCAGCACTCAAAAGTGGACAGGAAAACACTGAAATTGGAAGATTTACTTCAGGACTTCAGGACTACTGGAGAAGGGGGTGAAGATACGTCTGATGCTCTCCACAATGGCCACTTCCCGTTGCAAATTTGAAAAGCGGTTTTTAAGCTTTATCTAAAGTTGTTTCCATATTTGTTTCTCATAAGCTAATAGGCTTATAAATCAGTACAGCATGAGTTAAGTCAGTGTCTAATTCTTTTTTTGATTTGTTGCAACATTAAGATTAGTATGTTCATTGTCATAAGAGCCGCCTCACAAACCTGACAGCGGCGAAAAATGTTCTCTAAAAGAAATTTCTTCTTTCACATCCTTTCCTGCTCTGAAACAATGCTCTGTTGTCTGCTTTCGCCTCTACTTTCTGCCCCCATTTCTCTTCTGGGGTTCTGACTCTTTTTGCAGCCTCTCTACTGCTACTCCTTGGCTCCTTTTTACTGCTGTCTTTAGCCACACCCCTGATCTTAGGGTTGGTAAGATCTAACACCTAGCCTTCTCGGATAAGGGCGAAAAATCTCGGAGGTCTCGTGTGCAAATAGCTCATGATAAAGATTCCTTGGTGGTCTAAAATCGATAAAGAATAGGCTTCAGCTGCCACCCAGGCAAATTCAAGATTAACTCCTACGAAACAGAAAATGTTTAATGTGTCCTACACACTCATATGACTTATGCAGTTGCGAGCGCTGTAATACACTTTCCAGAACAAAAAAAAAGCCACCTCAGAACACTAATTTAAGCTTCTACAGACTTGTTTTGTCGGGGATTGTCATTTTTGTAACTTTCTTTCCTGTATCGTAATGTAAAAAAAAAATAAATTAAAGCAGCTCCAAAGTTGCAGGCACAATCCAAATCAGCACTGCTGGCCCATGGTCACCTTGTTATAGAGGGGGGGGTGGGGGGGTATTTGAGACTTATTTTATGTCATAATAAAATGAGGTTGATGTTGGAATTTATTTTTTAGAGAAAATGAAAAAATCGGGCCCACGACATATAGATAACAAGAGACATATTAAATGGGTAGAAAAGAGATTGGGGGGGTGGGGGGTGAGGGAAGCCGTTTCCAGGTGTATTGTAAGTGCAGGGCGGAAATCTTTACGATTTATACAAATTTACAAAATCTAGAAATTGTTGTTTCACTATTCAGTTTATCTTTCATACCAATTTGAAGTTTCAGCACTTGTCTTACCATGTCTTATGTTCATGCTTTGAGTGCCTGTAGTGCTTTATTGGAAGCTGTATTTGGTCTGCAAATCGGGAAAACCCAATATTATTATAATCGCTTTTTGAAACCGCAGACGGCTTAGTCTCCTCATTTGAATTTTAATAAATTTTCTGTGCAAAAATTCTAGGTGGCTGCGTTTTCATGGCATTTAAAATGCCGATCACACACAATGAAATTTGGTTGATCATCCAGGGCCCAGCGTTCGAACATAGTTGTAACAAGGTCAGCCTATTAGTTAAATGAATAGTCTTTTGATGCCTTTCCTGGTCACGGTTCTGTGTCTGTATGTGTGTCTGTCGGTCTGTCTGTCTCCTGTCTCTCTCCCCCCCCTCCCTCCCTAATATGTACTCTATCTCACAAACATGCATATGGACACCGACGTACACACACTTACATACACGCACACACACACACTCACACACACACACACACACACACACACACACACACACACACACACACACACACACACAGGCACACGATCACTCTGCATGTCGACACAGACCGTTCGCAGTTTTTGGCTACATCAGTTGAACGAAGTGATGTGTATATATAACATGTATTTGGAACTTGTTACAAAGTAGACACGTGCTCACACAAAGTAATACCCTTTAGGGGGAAGAAAAAAAATCTAGATCTTAGGCAGTGAAGGATTTTGATACAGCGGTGCAAGGTGCCTTATGGGCTGGTTTCCATTTCGACTCCGGGAACAGTCATTATCTTGGAGGGAGAAAAGAGGGTCGCGTGGGGTGAGGGGGGGGGGAGCAACTATCGATCGCTTTATTCCCTTTAGAGCTGCCACCCACTCCCTTCCTGTGGCACGGTTTGTACTCGTCGTAGGGAGACACGCCCACTCGATCTTTTGTCTACACGGGACTTCTAAATCTAACGCTGTAATGCGAGATTTAGCCTTTCGTGCGCTACGGCTTTGATGCTCTCAGATTTCTTTTTACGTGTACATATATATTTATTATTCTCTTTCATTTGTTTTTTTTTTGGTATAAGTTTTCCGAAGGCCGTAGTCCGAATAACATTTTTTTCATATTCGGACTCGAGTCCGAATAAGAAAAAATTGTTGTTCGGACATGGGTCCGGATAAAAAGGAAGTGTCTTCGTTCTATAGATCTAACTTTCAGTGCTTCCAATTTTCCGCCATTTTTTAGTTTCCCCCACACCTTTTCTGCCCATCCGATGCCCGCCGCCTCATTGATACGCCCCCCCCCCCCCCATGTTTCCCACTTTCTTTGTTGTAGAAAAAGGTAAAATTGAAGATTAGCAGATCTCCTGGCACCTTCATATTATGAGCTTTGTAAAAAAAAAAAAGACATATTCGTTCAAATACACAAGCCTGTGTCATCTCGATTGTTTACCAAGAAAAAGTTGTATTGCTGTGTAGAGCCGAGCATACGGCAACTTTTGATTCCATAGATCAGCGCACAATTCATTACGTAGATCTAGGTCAAGACTAGCTTATTATTGTAATAATGATCAGTTACCGGGGGGGGGGGGGGGCTGACACGTATGCGACGTTCAACGCCTGGACCGATAGCGCCCCCCCCCCCTTCCCCGACACGCACACGCAGCTACACGTGTGCAGGCCGCCCATCCGACCCCGACACACGCTAACGAGCCATCTTTAATTGCTTCTGATGACCTCTTGAAAAAATAAACATTTATAAGAAGCGCTCTAACTTTTCAGGCCGGCCTCAAATTCATCATAAGATAAAAAAAAACTCGGCTCCGGCACAATTTAACGCCATTTTGCCCGAAGTGATCCCGGTCTCTACCCAGCCTGAGGCGAGTCACGAGTGAGGCAAGACAGGAAGCCGGAGTCACGAGTCACAGAAAGTCGGAAGTGATGTCATGCTGGACAAGAATCAGAGTCCGAATAACATTTTTTCATATTCGGACTCGATTCCGAATAGTCACTTCGTTTCCGAATGTTTATTGTATTGAAGGGCGGATGGTTGGCGGATGCCCCGGTGTGATTTGCTCCTTCTCCCCTATCAAACATCTATCGCGTTGTTATCCCTCCTCCCTTTTTATCTTTCTTAATCTCTTGTAACACCTTTTATGTTCGGCACTTATATGACCTTATTGTGTTGCAAGTGTTGGTTACTCTTATTAACACCAAAAGTTTTTTGGGTAATTCCGATCTCGTGACTTAACTACGTTTGTGATTCTTATGGGTGGTTGGTCGGTGTTCTTGTGTTGCCCACTCTTTGCGCTTCAGTTTTTAAATTTTTTTCTTGCGTCCTTGCCGATAGTTAAAGGGTGCCACTGGTAGGTCCTATTTTTTTCGTTCCGTCTATTGTTTCTGTCTGTCTATCTTTCTTCTCCCCCACACTAAATGACGGTTATCATGCCGATGTGCTTCCCTTTCCCCAAAGTCCCACTCTGTATTAGCTGATCATGGTGGAAATGAGACCGTTTACGTGCTGACGCTCCGGAAAGAACAGGTGAATAACTGTAACTGTCATTGCCTTGACGATGTGAAGTGTCTACACCCCCCCCCCCCCCCCAAAAAAAAAAAAAAGAACTTATCTCGCGGAAAATGGAAAATTATGAGAATGGCCTTATATTCTCGCCGTGAAGCTGGCAATGCCATCTCACCATGGGTATGATAAGTCTGATTCCCAACTACTGTGGTTTCGCTACTAATTTAAAAGTCAATTTAAAAAAACCGACATAACTCTGTGTATCACTTGTGCGCGCGGGCGCGAGCGTGTGTGTGTGTGTGTGTGTTGTGTGTGTGT